GGCCGTACCTGCGGGATGAGCTGTACTCCCGACCTGCAGGACAAATGGGAAACGGGAAACGTGTCAGCTCCGTGAAATTCCTTATCCAGGCGCTTTTCCCCCCGGAAAATCCCGCGGTTTTCCCTCCGCCGCCCCAGGGAGCTCCGGAAAGGCGGAATTTGGAGGGATGGGGTGGGATTTTTTGGGAATTCCTTGGGATTTTTTGGGGAATTCTGTGGGATTTGGGGCAATTCCACGGGATTTGGGGCAATCCCATGCTATTTTTGAGGAATTCTGTGGGATTCGGGGCAATTCCACGGGATTTTGGGCAATCCCATGCGATTTTTGGGGAATTCTGTGGGATTTGGGGCAATTCCACACGATTTTTTTGGGAATTCTGTGGGATTCAGGGCAATTCCACGGGATTTTGGGGAATTCTATGTGATTTGGGGGCAATTCCACAGGATTTTTGGGGCATTCTGTGGGATTTTTGGGGGAATTCCACGGGATTTTTGGGGAATTCTGTGGGATTCGGGGCAATTCCACAGGATTTTGGGAATTCTGTGGGATTTGGGGCAATTCCACGGGATTTTTGGGCAATTCCACAGGATTTTTTGGGCATTTTCGTGGGATTTGGGGGCAATTCAACAGGATTTTTTGGGAATTCCACAGGATTTTTTGGGAATTCTGTGTGATTTGGGTGCAATTCCACAGGATTTCTGGGGAATTATGTGGGATTTGGGGAAATTTCACGGGATTTGGGGCATTCCTTGGGATGTTTGGGCAATTCCACAGGATTTTTTGGGGAATTCTGTGGGATTCGGGGCAATTCCACGGGATCTGGGCAATTCCACAGGATTTTTTTGGGAATTCTGTGGGATTCGGGGCAATTCCACGGGATTTGGGGAATTCCATGGGATTTTTTGGGGAATTCCACAGGATTTTGGGCATTTTCGTGGGATTTGGGGGCAATTCCTCAGGATTTTTTGGGCAATTCCACGGCATTTTTTGGGAATTCTATGTGATTTGGGGGCAATTCCACAGGATTTTGGGGGCATTCTGTGGGATTTTGGGGGGAATTCAACAGGATTTTTGGGCAATTCCACGGGATTTTTTTGGGGAATTCTGTGGGATTTGGGGGCAATTCCACGGGATTTGGGGAATTCCATGGGATTTTTGGGAATTCCAAAGGCACTGACCGTATCTGGGGGAGGGGCTGCGGCTCTGGCGGCTGTACTGCCGCTCCCACTCCTCCCGTTCCTTCTCCCGCCGCTCCCGCTCCCTGCAAATCCACAAAAATTTGGGATCGGGGCCCTCGGGAAGGGCTCAGATCCGGGAAAAGCGGGATCAGGGGGAAAAGTGGGATTTACTTCATGCGGATTTTCCGGGCCATGGCGCGGAGCTCGTCCTCGCGTTCCTGGAAT